CCCCCTGGGCAGGGATCCCTCCACTGATCATTCCTTCCCCATTCCCCCTGGGCAGGGATCCCTCCACTGATCATTCCTTCCCCATTCCCCCTGGGCAGGGATCCCTCCACTGATCATTCCTTCCCCATTCCCCCCTTGGGCAGGGATCCCTCCACTGATCATTCCTTCCCCATTCCCACCTCGTGGCTGTGCCGTTCCTGGCTGCCGGCCCAGGCAGCGCCGCCTCCCCGGGCTGGGCTTTGTTGGGAATGTTCCCCAGCTCTGTGGGATCCCGGGAGCTGCGGAAGGGGCTCTGCCAACTTCCTGGCCTGGCTGCTCCGTCGGTGCCGCTGCCAAGGGGAGCGTTTGTGGGACACGGGATGAGGGATCCGGATGGGCTGGGGGGGGCTGGGGGTGGTTCTTCCCCTCTCACAGACAGTGGAAACTGAAATTCCTCTTTAGATTCCATGAAAAAATACTTCCCTTTTACTTGGGAAAGTGGAATGGACCTTTCATTCCTCTCTGCTTTGGATCCTGCAGTCAGCACAGTGATGGAATTGTTGAAGTTGGAAAAGCCCACTGAGTCCAACCGTTCCCAGCACTGCCCAGGCCTCCCCTGGCCGTGTCCCCAAGTGCCACATCCACAGGGTGTTAAATCCCCCAGGGATGGGGACTCCCCCCCGCCCTGGGCAGCTGTGCCAGGGCTGGACAGCCCTTTCCAGGGGGAATTTTCCCATTTCCTCTCCTCCTGTCCCTTGTTCCCTGGGAGCAGAGCCCGACCCCCCCGGCTCCCCCCTCCTGTCAGGGGGTTGCAGAGCCAGAAGGTCCCCCCTGAGCCTCCTTTTCTCCAGGCTGAGCCCCCCCAGCTCCCTCAGCCCCTCCTGCTGCTCCAGCCCCTCCCCAGCTCCGTTCCCTTCCCTGCACACGGATGGATGTGGTGACAGGAGGGGCTGTGCCAGGCCGGGACAGACGGACACCGGCCGGGTCTGGAGCAGGGGGAGCTGCAGGTCGGGAGTGGATGATGCAGTCAGGGATGCAGGGCTGGGATGTGGCTGCCTGCCAAGGGTTTCCATGGAAACAGCAGCTGCTGCAGTGGGACTGCAGTGGGGGATGCAGGGACGGCTCTGCCATGATCCAGCTCCATGCCATGGATCCAGCTCCATGCCATGGATCCAGCTCCAGCCCCTCCCAGCTGGCACAGGAGGGGGCACACGGGGGGAGCTGGGGGTGCCCCCAGACACCTGGGAAAAGGGGGGAATCCAGCCAGGCCTATCCTGGGGGCCTGTAGGGAGGGACAGGACACGGGGGAATGGCTTCCCACTGGAAAAGGGGAAGTTTGTGTGAGATTTTGGGAAGAAATGTCTCCCTGTGAGGGTGGTGAGGCCCTGACTCAGGTTGCCCAGAGAAGCTGTGGCTGCCCCTGGATCCCTGGAAGCGTCCAAGGCCAGGCTGGGCAGGGCTGGGAGCAAAGTGGGATAGTGGGAGGTGTCCCTGCCCATGGCAGGGCGTTGGAACCAATGGAATTTCCAATACCTTCCAACCCAGAGCATTCCACGATTCCATGATTCTGTGTCCCCAAGTGCCACATCCACACGGGTTCAAACCCCCCAGGGAAGGGGACTGCACTGCTCCCAGGCCAGCCCCTGCCAGTGTCGGTTCCGAGGAGTGTCCAAGTGTTTGCCTTCCTCAGGCAGCAGCTCC